CGCTGGAATGTCTAAGTGAATTTTAGAATATTAATTTTGAATGAGTTTAACGAAATGGCGACGTGATCCAATAGGAGAACCTAAATGACCTTTGTTGCACCATGAATACGTTTACAGTGAAAACTCATTAACTCGAGCTTTTTGGGACCGGACAAAATGCTTCGAGTTATTCGAAGTTCGACATATCAGGCGTTGCCTTTACCCATAGAAAAAAATAACTTTATGGGATATAATAGGGCGATTTTCTCGTCCTCAATAATCCGATTTCAAGGGGCGACGACATTTTTATAATTGCCTTTTATTCATGTCTAGAGAAACTTCGGTACTCCATATGCAAAATTCATTCATCGCAACCCCCTTCATCCGGTACTCTGGAAACCAAATATGACCGGAATGGCCAGAAGTGAGAGGGAGAGATAGATAGGGAAAATGCAAGAGGTTCCATCTTTTCAAACCAGAAGCTTTTCGATTTTAATCCTCAGGTTTAATCCTCTCCTTAGTGAGGGAGGAGGGAGAGCAGAAAAAAAGAAGGAAAAGGATTTTCTCCCGAACGGGTTTCTAATCTTTCACCTATTCAACAAATCGATTGGTCCCACAATAAATAGGTCCCCCTTCACACCCCGATTTCTAGTTAACCATGAGAAAATCGTAATCGGAAGTGAATTTGTCGTTCGAGATATCCAGGAATTCCAGATAAGCGAATTCGAATTAAATGGAATGCATTTATGTATTTAACTCTGGATTCTGACGGGACCAAGCATTGAACTTGGAGATAAGCGGAATTTCCACTTATCAGGATTCGAGTTAACGAGTTTTTACTGTATTACAATTTTGAATGAGACAACTCAGTCGCCTTCGCATTGAAAGGTCGTATCAGGTCGTAGAGTAGAATTTGCACAAAGAAATCTACCATTCGCATCAGACAGGGCACAAATAATTAGCTAGTTTTGTTGCATCAGACATATGTAGATTATATGTAGGAGAAGGTAGGACGAAACAGTGCGGTTCAGGAAAATTGTTCTCGTGTGCATCTGACACAGGGAGTTGTCTCAAGACATACTGAATGTTGTTGCAAAATAGAGTTGGATTGGAAATCATATCGTTCTTGAAATATTTTTAGCCAATGAATATATTAATCGATAATTGAAGACTTCATTTCATTTCATTAGCTAAAAGTAGCGCAAGAACTATATGATTTCCAATCCAACTCTATTTTGCAGCAACATTCAGTATGTTTTGAGACAACTCCCCCATGTCAGATGCACACGAGAACTTGTTTGATTATAGTCCAAGTTGCCTTTCTGGTTATTTGACGCGATAAAATTTTCTCCAAGTCCCATTTCAGCCCCTGTCTTTTCTGCACTAAAGCGAACATTTTTATTGATTGAAATGCTTTCTGGCCGATTGACTGAACTATTAGACGAACACCGATAGAGTTCAATAAAACGTATTCCACGGTAGATACAACACACGAGGGATATGGTCTGTAAATGAACCAAATCAAAGAATGCTGATTTGATGCGGATCCTTCCACCATGAATGCTGCCGTATTGAAGTCACGTTGGCTCAATCTAGGTGCATAAACGGTGACCGTCGCGGCATCGAATCAATGATGGTGTTACATTGTATAAGCAATGAACATTGACACATTCAATCCACACCATATCAACGTTGAATCAATGTTTAGAGCTACTTGGGTCATTTGATAAATTATTATTTACAATAATTTATTCGACAATTGTTTAAAAAGAAGGAATTATTAACATTTGCACGTGATTGCATCATTCTCGCTATAAAAAAAAATACATTTGCCTGATTCTTCTCGGAAAAAAATGTGAGGAGTCGCAGCCTTTGCTCTCTAATAGCGTTGCAACAATGCCAGCGCTGATGCAACTATAATAATTTACAAGTGTTGGCAATTCGACAAGATTCTCCAATGAAGGAATTGGAACGTTTTTGAACGTTCATGCTTTGTTTAACGAATCTTATCAGGAAATTCCATTATTATTGACCATGGCTTTCCAACGCACGACGCAGTGCAGCGATGGGTTCAGGATTCGAAGTCAAGTTAAAACGTGAAGAGGAACGTCGACCCATATCGACTCCCTTACTCCAGATGAAGTTCCCTTATTGTCGCCTGTTCTTGATGAGAGAGTATCAGTATAATGCTTAGTTTCGGATATTGCTCCTTCCTTTTGCGATATTCTGATTAAGTTTTCGAACTTCGTCGGATCGGATGCACGTCATCAAATGCTTCTACTCTATGAAGTTATGGCTTTCATAACTGTAATGCTATGAAAGCCGCCCTGAAAAGTGACTGAGTGAAGGCTGGGGCCTCCTTTATGCCAATGTACCGGCTCATGCAGTAATATCGGTCCAACGTTTCCTTGTCAATCATCAGATCACTGTGCTTAGACATCCTCATTGATTCACCTGATATAGCACCATGTGACTTATTTTAATTCTTAAAAATGACAAGTACGGGAAAACCGCTTCTAACAAACTCAATTAAGTTACAGTTGCCCTGGAAGCAGTCCGATGAGTTTCACACATATGAGAACCTGTCAAGTGGTCATCTGTCCTGTCAATTGGTCGAATTCAAACTTCAACCGGAAATAGGACAAAACAAATTTAAACGATATTATATTGTATCGGACGCAACTTTCAAAACGCTCCGGGTATACAATGGCCTCGATCAGTAGAGAGCGCGCTCATCTGCCGTACCTCTTCCATGGTTTGAGTGACCTTCTCTCTGGGGTAAAATTAGGGTGTCACTGTCACTCCCTCGCGTGGGAGTGACCGGGAGAACAGGCTCACCAGGTGGTTTCAACTTTCCTTTCATAGCAGAACCCATGAAAAAAAGACTTCCGAGGAAGGCTGTATCCACTCATACCTCATTGATGCATGCTATGGTTTCCGTACGTTAATTTTAGTTTGTCACTGTCACTCGACCGACCATCGTGGGTCTTGCAATCAAGTTGCCTCCTGCAATCAGAATGTCACTTAACCCTTTCACTGCCAAGGCTTTAAATCCCCAGCAAACCTCTTCCTGTCTATCAGGGCAGTGGAGATTTGTCTGGCCAAACATACCATATGGTGTGAACGGCAGCGAAAGGGTTTACCTGCACTTCTCGTCGGATGAAAGGCACCCACTCACGAAATGGATCATGTTACCCCTTTGTACGGAATACAATTTTTTTTGTTAGTCTGACATGAACGAGTCTAATGACCCTACTAATTTCGTCACTCAGTGCTGGGACAAAGTGACGACTTTTAATCCTCAAATCTATCTGCGGTATATTTCCCATTTCCCATTCATCTATCTGCAGTGGAAGAAGAGAAATATATTTTAGAAAACGAGACATTAACTGTGGAATCTCTCTCAGGGAACCCAAACCTCTTGGGTGCCTATTACAGAGCAAAGGCGACGGCGACCTCAAGCGAGATGACCGATTAAAGTGACTCATTGGAATGCGGGTTTTTCCTGCACAACTATCTCGAGCTGCCCTTAAAATTTACTCCGATGACACGATGTTATCGCCTTCTCTATAACTATATCGCCCACTCCTTGAGTCAAGTGGCTTCATGTCATGACTATGACGAAAGAGGAGAGAAGTGATATCAGTTGGAAATTCATGGAGCACAAAGGCCCAGTTTTCCTTCTATTAGCCGCTTCCTGAAAATACCCGGTTTTATTTTGATGAGAAAGAAATTGAGTTGTCTTCCCCAGCAGAAGAGGCCACCACTTTTTATGCACGAATATTGAATCGTGAATGCCAGGGATACTTTCAATTTAAAAAAAATTAATGGGAATTTTTATTATACGTGATTATTTAACAAAGAAGAAGGGAAAATATGTCAAAATAAGAAATACAGAAATACAGTAAAAAAAAAGTAGCAATTGTGAAGCATTGCGAATATTGTACCGTTACCAATATTGCACCGAATATTGCAACAACCTTCACATAAAAATAAAATGGGTGGTGGAAATAGAAAAATTAAGGGGTTAAAGGCTGAGGGGAACACTAAGCAGGGGAAAATTAGAGCCCGCATCAGACCGGACGATGATGCATCAAGCGACGACGCAATCAAGTGGAAATCTCTGCACCATAAAGGCGCATTCTCTGCTCCCCAGTGCGAAAACTTCATTGACTAAGACGAAAAGATTCCAGGTTGCTGTCAAGAAGAAACACGTGAAACACATTTCGTGAATAGTCAATGCGAGCTCTCGCATTTTGTTGAGATGCAATTGATGCCATGAGAAGCTATTAGTACTAGAAATACAATACTTTGATTTGGTGTGAATACTTATGGCCCGCCCTGTACTTGCCTGCTTGCTATTAATTTTATGCCGATAATGTTTGAAAATGACAATTTTGTGATAATTTTCTGCTTATTAAATTCAGCATGATGCCTTTTAAGAGGAAAATCTTTTTGTTGCCGCACGGTTCGAAGTACTACCTTTCGCTGGTATGGGAGAGTACACTTTCAAAACTTGCATATTTTCAACAACTGTTGTTATTTCATTTAAACCCTGAAAATGCAGGAGAGAATTAATTACTATTTTAGGAACTCTGGTTCAATATGTTACCCACCTCTGCAAGATCAGTTGTTGCTGATAAGGAGATTTTGCCGCCTGTGGTTTTTTTTCGGCTTTCTCATGAAGTTCCGCGGGGGGCATGCCGCACGCACCGAAGACACGCTTACGACCGATCTCTTTCATATGCCCATCAGATGGATTGCAATTTCTGAGAAATTTCATTGCAAATCCCGAGATGATCATTTAAATATATTGCGTCTGTTCGTCTCTTGATCCTCCAATAAAAAAAAATGATTAATAAATTTCCCGTAAACGAACATGAACTACGTCCCTACTCAGGAGAGGAAAATATGTTTGCGCCTGTCATGGAACAAGAGCGATAGAGACAAATTGAGATACAGGTCTTTCCTGTTGTACCATATCGAGCTGCTCAAGAACTTCTCGCCAATGACGCAACGTTATCGCCTTCACCGAGATGACGTCAACTGCTAGTTTTAAAGTCTCTCGTCCTCGCGTCAGGTTTTACGTTTTCTTCATACACGCCAAAAGACAGAGGTTTCGTCCGGAACTTGTGTAATCAGAACCGAAAGTGATTCAGAAAGAGCCGGAGCAGTCTCAACAGGGGTAAGTAAAGTTCCAGGAGTTATTCTCGTTGATGCCTTCGAAACTACGAGTAGAAAATAGGCGGAATACTCGACCGCTACGTTCTCGGAGTATTGTTTTCTCCCAAAGGCATGTCGTAGAGGTCTAGTATTATGATTTAACATTATGTTTTGGGTATTTGCAAAGAAGTGCAGTTTAATCGAATGCTAACCATGTCGGTAGCCTGTTTTGGGTTTCACAGAGTAAATTTAAAAGTTTTCCTCTTGAAGTCTATTCCGATGCTTAAGAACAGATGGTGACAAGAAGTGTGATTGAAAAAAAGATTCGATCTACTGACATTCGCCCTTCGGCAGAGTCTTTGTCCCTGCGAGGCCGCCATTTCCCGAGTAGCATTTGAAGATCATTGTTCAGATTATTATAAGGTACGCTGAGCAAATTCGTAAACTTTTAAAATAATGCATATTTGTTCCACGAAATTTGTTCGACTTCTTCTCCTAACCTTTTCAAGAGGGCGTAATGGTTTCTGATTTTCAGAATTGTAAATTTACATTTATCGAAGAAAGCGCCTTTCTCTCCGTATCTTTCCCAACTCATCGCATCTAAGTATCTGATCAGTTTCACAAGTCGTTCGCAATGACCGAACTTCTATCTTTGCTCCTTCCATAACTAAATATGTGCTATTAATTTATAAATACTTGGATGCAATTGAGGGAAAGAATAACCGAGGCCAAGCGCACCCATGATCGATTTCGAGCTTACTTTATCCAGCGATTGCATGCATTTGGAATAACTTGAGATTTGTTATATTCTAGAGTGAAAAAATATGCTGCATTTTTCGCATTTGCTTCTCTTACGAATGATTTCTGATATCATCATCCCTTTCCAGGGAGAATGGAGACTAATGAAGATTCCTCAACCTCACAAGTGAGTCTATGTTAATTACATTACTTGGCAGATCAGCTTCATATCTGAGACAAGCTGATACACTGGTCTCAATGAGTAATTACATGTGAAGTAGTACCAAACCAAGAATAAGTGACTGTACTTATCTCCGCAAATCAGAATGGGAAAGCTCAGTACACCAGCCTCGGGAAGTCTATAAGGTCGCCTCGGGTACCGTAGCAGAGACCATGGCCAGGGCTGTTACCTAAAAGCAATCGTTGTGTCGCATCAAGAAGACAATAGGTTCTGCTGTATGCAAAAGTAAAATAACTCTTCATTTCCTCTTCCAACTCTTTCACACGTGCCTGGACAGATGGAATTGTGTGGTAATTCTCTGTCAAGCCTTTTGTCGTATAACGTACGAGGGTAGTTCTATACTTACCTGCACTTTTCATTCCAGAAAATCTATGGTACATCTGATCTCAAATCAAACTACGCATCCTTCTCCAGGTATTCCCCTCCTACACGGACGTACTTGTCTCATCGCTTTGGCAACGCTTGAACGCCAGAGACATTCGAATGCTTGTCGTCGAGTGCGCAGCAATTTCACCACTTCATCATTGCCCTGAATTTCTTCGGCCGAGGCGATCTGGGATGTCGCCTTTGCATGCTTCAGCGTTTCCATACTGACGTTAAATGATGAATCCACATTTCATCGCTCATCAAAATGCGGTTGAGGATGTTGTCATTCTCTTCGTCATAGCAGTTGAAATGGTCCGACGCGGCGCTCACTTGATTAGCCTTCTGTTCGAATGTCAGTTCTCTTGGCACCTATCTCGTAGTCACCTCGTTGAACTTAAAGTGAGTGTGGATAATGTTTTCGACTCTCCCAATGTTGATATTTAGTTCCGCTGCAATATCAGGCTCGGTGACGCGACGTTTTCCAGTATCAATGGTTAAATTTGCCGGATATTCTCAGGATTCACAACAGTCTCGGGCGGATGGCCACGCTCAAGGAATTGTCAAGGATTCTTGGCCGTCTTGAAATTTATTGCATGATCAGATACACTTCTCTCTAGACAGTCTTCCCGAACTGTGCTTGTCATCTTCGAAAATTATCAGCCCCCTTCGCTTTCTCTTTCCCGTGAAACTTTATTATACAATGCTGTTTAACCAGGGAGGATATACCATCAGACGCCATGTTCTTCACACTCAATTGCGCATGCGCAAGGGTCGCCAGTCATGGCATAAATAACATTGAAGATTGAGGCTATCTGCCATTTTAGGCTTTCAGACTTTCTTCTATCCTATTTATTTTCTAGAATAGAAAGTGCATGTAAGTATTGAACCATCCTCGTATATACCACGACGTTCAAAACGTTCGGTGGCTCGACTACTTCTGAACGACATTCTAGATATACAATAGGTTGCAGGTAAAATATATTCCATGAAAGAATGATTATATAAAAATGGCACAGCTTCGTCTTTTGAGCAATTATCTATATCACAATTATTTTTCCATCCACAGGTAATTCTATCGAAGTGGATGCTATCGAGGGAAGAACAGTAAGTTTGTCACCGTCAAAGGGATTCTCATAGAGAATCATTCTGAGATCAGATTAGTTCAAGTTAAACGGATCTGGTGCATGTCATACAATGGCTTAAACTGCGGCAACCTCTTCTTGGTTGGTTGTCGTTGCTGGTTGTCCACTCCATAAGTCATCCGCCGGACTCCTCCTGTCCCGCTTGAATTAAGAAGCCCAGCGCTGTACTGTTCTGGGCGAAGGCGCATCTGTGCCATATACACTCGCCATCTCCGCATGCACCACCATTGTATTACTTCCCTTTGATTGTTAAACACTGCTTTTGCCTCGACTGCATCAATTTCGATAGAATGACTTGCGGATCTGAAAAATCAATTTAATATGGATAATTACTCAAAAGACGTGGCTGTGCTAACTTTACCCCACGTATGCAATCATTCACTCATGGAATATGTTTTATCTGCAACGTAATATATATTTCTAGAATTTTGTTCATAAGTAGTCGAACGACAGCTTTCTTTTTTCTCCATTTTTTAACACCCCTCGTTATTTCCTCGGAAACTATTGATATTTCAGAAGCCCGATAATGAATGTCATCATCGTGTATTGAAACGGATCCAAAAATCCGGCACATTGGAGGCAAAACGAAGAAAGGTGAACGTTGAGGAGGAAGGTGTCACAAAGGACGCGGAGGAAAATGATGTGAAAGATGATCGTGCGAACAAGGATGATATGGGGGAGGAAGACAAGCCGAATGATGATGAGGAAGATGAGCAGGTAGGTGAAGAAGAAAGTGAAGAGAAAGATGAGCAGATAGATGAGGAAGAAAGTGAGGAGGAAGAGGAGCAGGTAGATGAGGAAGAGAGTGAGGAGGAAGAGGAGCAGGTAGATGAGGAAGAGAATGAGGAGGAAGAGGAGCAGGTAGATGAGGAAGAAAGTGAGGAGGAAGAGGAGCAGGTAGATGAGGAAGAGAATGAGGAGGAAGAAGAGCAGGTAGAGGAGGAAGAAAGTGAGGAGGATGAGGAGCAGGTAGAGGAGGAAGAAAGTGAGGAGGAAGAGGAGCAGGTAGATGAGGAAGAAAGTGAGGAGGAAGATGAGCAGGTAGATGAGGAAGGATGTATGATGGAACAGGAAGGTATTGACAAGGGGCAGGGGGAGGAGCATAAGAAAGAGAAGCGGGATAATGTAAACAAGTGGGAATCCCTGCATCACGAAGGCCCATTATTTGCTCCCAAGTATGAAAAACTGCCGGAAAATATCAAGCTTATATATGATGGTAAACCAGAGGAGTTATCCCTTCCAGCAGAGGAGGTCGCTACCTTCTATGCAAAGATACTGGATGATGATTGCACTAAGGATGACACATTTAACCAAAACTTCTTCACAGATTGGAGGAAAGTCATGACAGATGAAGAGCAGAAAATCATCACGAACTTGAAAAAGTGCAGTTTCAAAGCGATCCATAAACACTTTTTGCAGATGAACAAGGAGAAGAAGAATATGTCAAATGAAGAGAAGCAGAAATTGAAGGAACAGAAAGAGGATGAAATGGAGAAGTATGGCTTCTGTCTCATAGATGATGAACGGGAACGTATAGGAAATTTCAAGATAGAACCAGCAGGCCTGTTTCGTGGCCGAGGGGAGAACCCTAAGCGAGGGAAACTTAAGGTCCGCATCACGCCGGAAGATGTGATAATCAATTGCAGCAAGGACTCCAAGATCCCAGAGCCACCACCAAGTCACGAATGGGAGAAAGTCGTCCAAAACCAGAAGGTTACCTGGTTGGCCCGCTGGACTGACAAAATCACTAGGTGTCCCAAGTATGTCAAGCTTAGTCCTTCATCTAACCTGATGATGGAGAAAGATCGTCAGAAGTTTGACACTGCCCGAAGGCTTCACAAAAGCATCGATACGATTCGGGAAAATTACTGGAAGGACATGGAGAGCGAGGAAGTACAGGTTCGACAGAGGGGGGTGGCGATATACCTCATCGACCAACTGGCTCTCCGAGTGGGGAATGAAAAAACTCAGAAGAAACGGCTGATACTGTTGGCTGCTGCACTCTACGTTGTGAACATATTACACTGACGGAAGAGGCAGAAAATGGAAAGCACAAGATCAAATTTGACTTTCCCGGGAAGGCTTCGATTCCCTATCGGAATGAGGTCTATGTTGACAAGAGAGTCTTTCAGAACATGCAGAACTTCATGAATGGGAAAAAGATTGGAGATAAGTTATTCGATCAACTCAGCGCGGTCGGACTGAACGACCATTTGAAGAGCCTGATGGAAGGACTGACTGCCAAGGTATTCCGAACGTATAGAGCGTCTCAAACGCTACAAGAAAAGCTGGACGAACTGACTGACCCTAATGCCCCGGTAGAAGAGAAATTCCGTACCCACTTGAAAGCGACTCAGGCCGTGGCAAACCTTTGTAACCATCAGCGTTCCAACCCGAAAATCGATCCTAAGTCGATCAAATCCCTAGAAAAGAATGTTCAAGAAGTAAAGAGAGCTGTGCAGGCAGCTAAGAATGACCTGCAGTCTGACAAAAAAACCTACAATGAGTCTAAGGACATGAAGAACAAGGTGGAGAAGAAAAAGAAGGTTCTTCTGTGGCTGAAGGAAAAGCTCTCGATACTCAAAATCAAGAGAACTCTCGCTAAGGAAGGAAAGGAAAGAGCCCCGGAAGTATCCAAATTATACTACTTGGATCCAAGAATTACCGTTGCTTGGAGCAAGAAACACAGTGTCCCCATCGATGTGATATTCACCATGTCGCAAAAAGAAAAATTTCATTGGGCTATTTCTGGGGTCGGACCTAATTTCCGCTTCGATGAACTTGACTAGTCATTTCTCTCCAGTACTTTTTCATTTCCATGGAGTCCATTTCGTTATCCTCCCTAAGAAAAAGGTCCACCTGCTAGGTTGATTCGGAACCAGGTGGATGACTCGTTAGGAGTATTCCCACCTGTTGGAATGATGTCCACCTAGTTAAAAATTCACCTAGAGAAAAGCATCTACTTGCTTCGAAAAACAAGTGCGTAAAAGACAATATAGATATTCACCAGGTGGAACATCCACCTGGTTCCAAATCCACCTCCTATCCAGCTGGTCGTTCGTTGAATTCAGATGGACGTTTGTAAGAGCTATCATGTCTCTTCCCTATGCTGTTGACGACTCTAGCGACCCCTCATTCTAATGCAGTATGCACATTTAGCGTTTTATTTATATTTTCTTTGTGTCCTCCAATACGTTGTATGCCACCTCTTTTGATCTCTTATTTGATGGCACGCGCATGAAATCCAAATGGTTTACTTCCAATTGAAAATGCCCATTCTACAGATAATATCTGATGCAAGAGACCCATTTCACTGAGCAATACATTTTAATAAAAAATTCGGGCTACCTAAAGGAAATTAGCGTTACACACATCTGCGAGCAACCTTCAAAGTTTTCATTGTGCATGAAATAAAAGGCATTAATGCAGGTGTACTATATACATACTGTATAATTAATAAATATATATATTCTCACCACATGAGTGTATTTCATTACTGCAGTGTGCGTACTATAATTACTCGTGAGATTTGCTCCTTTCCTTCAGTTTTCCCATTGTTTCAGACCCAGTTTTCCAGCTTTTTTAGGTGAAGGACTATCGTAATTTATAGTAGGATACAATGCTTACCCAAGCCACAATGCCTCGTTACTGAGAGCTGGAAGAATACATCAAGACAACTACGTTTGCGATTCCTTAGAGCATGTTAGTATGGCTCCATTCATGTCCCCATAGCATTGCACGAAATTCAGTGGCGATGACGGTCATGTGGACGCTGTTCGCTTTGAGAAGGCCTTTCCTCCGGTTGATGACAGGAAATGTTCTTCAATACTCGGGGAACTATTTTCCGTTCCGAACAGTCACCATCACGCATTCAAATACTTTTGAGCAAGTTGAATTATATTGTGCCCTTCGTGTCCCGTTATAATTTTTGCTATTTATCATATTTGATGATGGTCATGCTGAAAATAAATATTTAATGATGATTATCTCATTCTGCAGTTTTCCATGACACCATTTAAGAAGTTAATTTTTACACGCTGAAAGACTTCTGAGTCTTACTTTTTGAGGGTATGAAATCATCCTGTATTATTTCATTTTCGTCCTCAGTCAGGACAGTGCATTGGCATTGTCAAAATATGAAGATGTACAGTCAATGGGGAAAGAAGTATGGTGTTGGGGCCGTTGGTTCACTCTGAAGTTGGGGCTTGCAGTTCCTGTAGCTTGGAGATGAGATTGGAGTCTCCCTTTGCAGGGCAATCCATCAGGTGGTC